CAATGAGCCTGACATGAGAGCAGAGCTGTACATCTTTATGGATGTATGTTGGTGCTCCGTACCCAGGCCGGTTTCCAGCCATAGTGGTCCTCGCAGCCCTGTGCCTTTGATGGCAGCAGTGACAGCTGGAGAAGTTCGGGCCTACCCACCCACAGTTGGTGCTCCTTTCAGAAAGGATCCAAGTTTTGTACTGCCTGATACTGGATCTGTCAGGAAGCATTATTTGGATGCGTTAGGGAGAATAACCTGCTCACCTTATACCTTCACTCAAGCCATAGGCCTAGAGCTCTACCAATCAAACATCTTTTGTAAATACTGATTTTTAAGGGGCAAAAAATGGTGCAAGATCTAGTTTTAGGTGGCATCTAGTTGGAAAACAAAAATACCTGAGATCCATTTGATCTCCGTTTTGCCTAACTCAAGCCCAAATAGCAACGTTCTGCAAAACCAGAATGAACTTTTATTTGGAGACAGATTATCTCTAAACTTTCTCTTTCAGAGCCCTTTCCAAAACCACAGATGTAAAGTAATGCCAAACAAGCAATAGCGTTGAAGTCACCTATATCAAAATACTACCTGTCCTGAGATTAACTTCTGATGTAGTGTAGTACAGGTATTGCACCAACTGATGAACTCTAACACATGTTGTCCCCCATGTCTAAGTATCTCCTGCATCTAAGTGCATGCAAATGTCTAGGCTTAAGGCCAGAGGAAAAAAATACTAAGTTTAGTTTTCATTCTTTTTGATCAGAGACTGCAAATGCTTTGGGTCAGGATTGACTTGTTATGCAATGGGTGGACAGTATCTAGATTCAGTGGAACCCAAATCTCTCTATGTGTTTCTGTAACACAAGTGATCATTAATATTACTTCAGTGTAAAAATGGCATCTTTGTGAATGATTTAGCTTCTCAGAAACAGATGAGAATACCACTAGTATATGTTTTGCTATGTTTGAAAGCGTGCAGTTAGATGTGTATCTTACAAACATAAACAAACACCTCCCATCCAACCTCCATGTTTCTAAAAACACCCAGGTTTGTTTAGACAAGGGGTTGATAATCCAGTTTGAACACAGGTATCTGAATGCTGTGACAGCTTCTTCATAATGCTAAGCTTATGGTACATTAAACTTTAAAGCAAGATAAACTCCTGCTTTCATTTTATCAAACATCTTCCCAGACAGCAAAAAGAAAGACACAAAGCAATGTTTGCAGCTACAACCAAGCATGGGATACCCAACTCAGCGTATGTTTGAAATGAAAATGAACAATATGTTGCATACTACTGTATTTTTCAGTAGAGAATATCACTGAAATTTGTAGATGTTCACCTCATTCCTCCCTTAAGTGTTTGTTTTTATTTCATGCCTGAAAAAACCCTGAGATTCACAGAGATTAAGCGAATAGAGGCAGCAGTCCTTGCAATTGAGAAAGAAAGTGCTCTTAAAAGAAACTCCTCTGATAATCAGTTTGGCTAGTAGAAATCACAGGAGGTGGGAGGGACATGGACAAGAGATTTTTTAAGAGTGCTCAGTGTTGTGCCACTGGTATTACTGAACTTTATGTATTTAGCCATATTATGCCTTTTTGTGGTTGCTAAAGCAGTAATTTCATTGTCTATCACAATAGTAATGAGGTAGCAAGAGCCATTGAAGAATCCATGATATGAGGTCTGCAAGAGACTTTGACCTACTGAGAGCGAGTAGTAAGGACAGGGAGGGTAGCGGACAGCTAAGTCCCTCAGGAATGGGGAACAGCAAGCAGGCTTGAGCACATCAGTTAAATTAACAGATTACCAAAAAAGCAACCTCAGGTTTGTTCTTCCCAGTTCAAATCTGAAGAAACTATGTACCCAAAAGTTCCTCTGTTCTTTCTACTCGCAACATTAAATCAACTACCTTAAAAAGCCTCTCCTTGTAGCTGACTTAAGGTCATGTGGAGGATAAACACTGAGGGATTATTGTCGCTGAATTTTCCACTGATTTAAAATTGACACAATACACTACACGCATCACCTTCATATTACACTGATGACAACACATGAGAAATCAGAGGTGTGCTATTAGAGGATTTGTTATAAAGAGTTATTGATGATCTTCATTGTACCATAAATAAGTCTAAAAAAAATGACCAAATCATCCAAGTTTCCTCCTAAGACCTGTATCTTCTCTAGAAGTTTATTTTTATGCAGCTAGAGCCTCTCCTCCCTTTCCCAGTCAAGCCTTGCTTCTCTCCCTGCTTCATATGACCTCACCTTACCCAAAAATGTGAAGAGATTGGTCTTATCACAACTTAGGAAGATACCACCTGCCAGCTGAACTGTGACAAATCACAGCTGGCCTTACAATACACATGCTAACAGTGACTGAGGCTGAGCCAACAAGCAGCAGCTCAAGGGTGTCATTTAAACCACCGTGTATCCCCATCCACAAATACCATGCTAAGGAAATAGCTCAGTAACACAACAGTTGCCATAACCATGTTACTATTCTAGTGTGCATTAGATCTATCGACTCTCTTCTCTACCTGCAACTACCTTCTGTTTAGCCCGTAAGCCTTTTACAGCCAACAAGGTGGACAAACTGCCTATTCTTTGTACTCACACAACAGCTGACACAATGTGACCCCAATCAATCATAAGCTACTACCATAACAAAATTTACAACAGCAAATATTCATTCCTCCCTTCCCCCATGACTGCCCTTCTGAAAAGATACAATGCTGGCAGAAAAAGCTAGAAAAAGAAGAATTCAGAAGTTATTAAAAAATGAGAATAAGGCTTAGAATGAAAACGTCAGAGGAACTTGAAGAGTTATTACTTTATTATTACTCCTGCCATACATAACACTTGGGTTTTCTGACTCCTAGAAGAGCCAGACAATTCGGTATGCAACACGATTGTAATAAAAACATTCTCTAGAATTAGGGACCTGCATTTCTATTAGCAACCCTTTACATACTCTTCAAATAATTTCTTGAAACCAAGGTTTCAGCCATGAATAAAGGAAGCTGTGAGCACGCATTGGTTTTTAGTCATTTGTTTGAACAGACATGCAGTATAAAGAAACTTTATAAAAAATAGACTTTCAGATGAATAGGTTGACAGGTTTGAACAACAACGACTGCACTTGCAGATGTGCTTTAAGCCATTAACATTACAGGTTCAGTCACTGCATTATACTGAAATAAATGGATCTGAATAGCTTAGCCACCACGCAAACCTACCAATAGCCCACAGATGTTGCCCAGCATATTTCACTGAAAGTTTAAGAAACACCAGCTTCTCATTGGAAGAGTGACCTATAGGCACCTGTATCTAATAAGATACTTAAAATCAACCTGTATGTGTAGATCAACAAGATTGGTTAGTAATAACCATTGGCAGGTAAGAGTATAAAACACTTTCCCATGTAAAACTCCAGCTTCCTTTACTTGTTGCCTTCACAGTACTCACCTTCAGCCAGGAAAGGAGAAACACTGAATGCGGTATCTCTACTGCAAGGCAATTTCCCACCTCACTCCTAAATTGGACTTTTTGAAACTTATATGTTAGGCACTCAATTCAGCAGCTGACTGTCCACAGCCAGGAGCCTTGTGTAACTTTGACTTCAGTCTGAAATTACAGTTAGGTTTGTTTATGGCAAGACCGAATTCTGCGCTAAACTGCCATGTCTTCACTTCAAGGGGAGGAACAGCCTTCCTTAAATTGAACCAGAAAATGAGGCTCTGCAGAAGCATGAACCAGAACATACCCTACATTTACATGGAGCACTTCTGTGTCTTCAGAGACCTCAGCACATCTTGACATGTACTACGTGGAAGCATCAGGCTCTTTCAGCTGTCACACAGGTGGCCAGATCTCACCAGCCGATTTGCTGCATTTCTGAACTGTGGATGTGCCTCTGCCCTCCCTCTCATCCCCTTAAGCTTACAGAGATCCACAGGTCAGCAGTCATGGTTTTACTGAAAGATCTAGTGCTGCCATTCTTTTTCCCAGTAAAATTCAAAGGAAGTATGACTTGGACCTTTGTGATGATTTGGGCAGATCTTATTAAGAGAGTAGGCTCACCCACCTACTTGATATGGCAACGCACATCAAATATGGGCTTGACTTGACTCTTTTTTAGTCTCTCTAGACCCTCCCTTGACACACAAGGAAGTTGAACAAAGCTCAACAGGTCAAAGAACGAAGAAACGTGCAGAAAGTGATCTGTCATTTACACTGCTACAACAATTGTGCTAAACTCATGGTGCCATCACTATTCTCTTCTAGATTAGCTTTGGGCTTTTGTCAGAGGTTCTTTTTCTACCACTGTCCTTGAAACTTTTTCTTCAACACAAATGAGAAAAAACCATGGTTGACTGGAAGGTGGGATTGGAAGAGGTATTCAAGTAAAAACAGTCAGATAAGCACTCCTAGTTTGGCTAATTTAATTTCTGAAAAAAATTATCTGGACAGGGTGGGTTTTTTTCATTTCAGCACAGCTCACGGCAATGCCTACTGTGCTAACCATTATGGTGGTGTTATTCTGATTTGTATCCACTACTCAGTGTGGAAAGAACAAGAGAGGAAATTCAAGCAGCAGTTAAAGTGTCTGTACACTTAAGCCAAGAAACCTGGCAAGGGACAAGTGTGCAGCATAGTACAGAGAAGAGGTCCAACAAGACCCTGCATCAAGTACTTGGTTTCTTTCTGACCAGCACCAATGTTCCTGCTGCCTACAGAAATTAGTAAGAAACCAACAATAATAAGTTCCTAATTTTGAAGACAATTTTTGTTAGCAGTTTGTTGTTAAAGTGCTTACAAGAAAATATTGCAAGGAGAGAATTCTCTAAAAAGCATCATGAGTTTTGTGAATATTTATTTCAACCTCCCCTCCGTGTCACTTCTAGCCAATTATCTTCCAGTTTCCCCTTATGAATAAAAGACTATAGATGTTGGGGGAGCTTCAGCAGGCTTTGTGTCTGATATGCAGCCCATATCATCGTTATCACTTACCAATACAGCAGAACGAGGAAGACGGCCATCAAAGCCAGGGTGACCGTTGCACTATTCATTTCTGTGGAGGCAAATGCCAGGAGATCTACAAGCTCCATATTCCTCCACTACAGCTCCAGCCTTGACTGGTGCGAGTGTGTGTGCAGGGGAAAGTTTCCTCAAGAGCTGATAAAGCCTTCCACAGCTATATGAATGACATCTGCAACAAAACAGGAACGAAGAGAGCAAAAATACATCAAGTCAAGTACAGACTGCAAACCTTTCCTGTTCTCATCAACTGCACTCTCTGAGAGAGAACTTGAAGGTTCCCCGAATGGTAGGATGTAGCAATTTCCCCCTCCCTCCCACTGTTGATAACTGTCATGCCAGTAAATATTTACATACCCACTGCCTGAGACATCAGTGCTGTTGAATAGGTTTTTAGACATCAAGTATGGGAAACTGGGGAAAGTGTGGGGAAAAAAAGAGGGGGAGAGAGCCTGACCATGGTACAGATCATGGAAGAAGAATATAAAGACCCTTCAGGGGTGCCCTGGCACACAAACGGTGGCACTCTCTGAAGTAACAAAAGTAGAGCATTTCTGCAACATAAAACTTCATTAGTACTTAATCTCCAAACTGGTTATACCTTAAAAGAATGGAACAAAGTAAACTTTAAGTTCTCATAACTAAAAGGAGGGATTAGGGGAAAACTCTTCTAATGTGACTACTAGAAGACATATATAGAAAGAAAAACTAATGAGCAGAAAAACCCAACTGTAGTACCAGGGTCCATAAGTCAGCATCTGTCACACCAGTTAACCCACACAGACAGCACTGTTTGGCTATATCATCTCAGGTTCATGAGTACTACTGCAAATTTTCCTGGATCAATGCAGTGCTCCCCCCCTGAAGGTACCGTTAAACTAACCTCTCAGAGACACTTTGGCTACCCCTGCATTGTATTTCTAGTATCAGGGTTAACATCTATCTCTGCATTGTGGCACAGTCAAGCTTTCACACTCCCTTGAACAACCTACACATGAACAGTCAAGCTTTGACTGCAGTTCAGGAAACGGTTTGTCCGTAGTATATGAATTCCTCATCTTTCTTCCATATTTTCCTGCCTGCAAACCTCAATCCTGTTTCAAGCATCTGATCCAGTCCAATCAGAAAAGTCAACCAGAAAGCAAACCTTCTATGAGAGAAGACCATCAACCTGTTACACTCGAAGTTACCAGATGCCATTATCAAAAAAATCCTCAGGATTACATCAGCAGCAGCATTGTTACTCATGAAACTAGAAATACCCATATATGCATTGCAGCCTTCCCACCTATTCCATACAATCTACTTGAAAGTTAAGGAAATCAAAACTACCCCAAAAAATAGGTTTGTGAATTATATGGTAACCTTGAAAACAGAAATTCTGCAACATCTGATTCCCATAACACACCAGATGAAGAGTGGTTTCTTCTCATACAACCCCAAGATAATAGCTTAGATTTAACGTGCAAGGCTTCTCCAATATCACTGTATTACATTTTCAGCTCTTATCAGAGAAGTTAATAATATAGGTATCAGAAAAGTAAAGTCTCTAACACAATGGAGTTTACTTTTAAGAAGATTTGGCTCTACTCTAACTGAATCACTGCTATTTTGGTTCTCTGTGCTTCACAACTGCATTAATTCCCTTCCAGCCTCAGATCCTTGCAGAATAAGTAAAAGGTGTTAACCAGCTCATCAGCTCCACAGAATAGCACGGTAGTTCACAGAAAACCTTGCTTATTGTATTAACAATGTTATTGCTATTCTGGGTCAATAACAGCTCTGCCGGTTTGCTGCTGCTGCCAAGTTCTCCAAGAACAACTGCAACAAGATTCAAGGCCAGTGGCATCAGGAATTAATCAGTGGGCACAAGCCAATCCCAACCAGCAACTGATCTCTTTTCCCAAGTAACAAGCGATAGGACGAGAGGAAACGGTCTCAAGTTGCGCCAGGGGAGGTTTAGACTGGATATCAGGAAAAAATGCTTCACCAAAAGGGTTATCAAGCACTGGAACAGGCTGCCCAGGGAAGTGGTTGAGTCACCATCCCTGGAGGTATTTAAAAGATGTGTAGATGTGGTGCTTAGGGACATGGTTTAGTGGTGGACTTGGCAGTGTTAGGTTAATGGTTGGACTCCATGATCTTAAAGGTCTTTTCCAACCTAAATGATTCTACGATTCTATGATCCTGTGGGACTTCTAAGAAAAAAAATAAAAATCAAATATCCATATGCATTAAAGTCTCTTCAAAAAAGAAACAAATCACCACAAGTGTAGAAGGTAAGAAATAATACTCCAATTTCACTTGTGCTTTAATTTACTTGGCTTTTTAATTAAAGGATGTATTTATCTGCACATAGAGGACAGAGGACTATCAGCAAACACAGAGTCAAGTACAGACCTCACTTATTTTTTAAGAAGTACACTGGAGCCTTTTCCCAGTCACACTGGGAGGTAGGTGGGATGAATAGCTCTTAAACACACACATAATGAAAGAAAATAGGCTCTCACATCAGCATCCAATTTGGAAGAGCTAATAATCAAACTCCCAATGACAACAACCATCCTTTTCTGTTGTTGGTGTTGGGGTTTTCTTTTTGTTTTGTTTTGTTTTTTAAGCCTTGGCACCTGTTTCTTGCTGGAGGGTTTTAACTCGGCACCTCCAAACATTAAGAAGGGTGGAACACAGCACTGACTCTAAAAGCCACCTGGAGCACTCCTCACTGCTTGCAGTTATTGTCTCAGAGTTAAGGATCTCGGCTCCCTGAAGTCACGAAATCCACATAATGTCCTTTGCAGGACAGGGCGGGAAAGGAGTCAGGGATGCAGACAGCAATGAAGACAGGCTATTTATCACTCCTTTGTCCAGTGTTCCCTCTCTCTTTACAGGTCCTTTACATGAGAAACACCATCCTAGTTAACTAGTTAATAGCACAGATATTTTTCACCAACCACCCAGTTCTTTTTGTGGAGCCCTGCTGGTCAGGCTGATTATGATATCAAAGAACTACAGAGACAGATATGAAGTCCTCAGTAATTCCACGCTGGAGGAAGCCAGAGACAAGCAGAAGTGGAAGAGAGCCTTTTCCTGTCAGACTGCTATGAGTCAGCAGCACTGTCTCTGTTTGCCTCCACAAGGCTTCGCTCAAGATTGCATCTACCAAGGCTCACAGCTCCTTGACGCAGTGCTATCCGAGCTCTCCTCTTGCATAGCAAGTAAAATCCACAGATCACCACCTTGTTCAACACAAACTTCAACAACAACAAAAAACCACGTTCAACACAAACTTACACTCAAGACATCCATCTCATCCTTCAATCCCCAGCACTGCCATAACTGCAGCCTTGAAGCTCCCCAGCAAATGGCAGACCTACAAGACAGAAGCAGTTCAATCCTGAACAGCCAGAGCTTCAGCTTGTGCGGATGTTCGCAGCAGTAAATATTAAAAAAGGGAAGTACATTTTAGCATGCAAAGTGTGAGAACTTGAAGTGTTCCTCCACTGAAAAAGAAAAAAACCCGGCGCACAGACAATCCAGATTGTCTAGGAAGCCTTCATGCCTTAAAGCCCTGTCTGCTGTAACTCCAGGAATATTTTCTGTAAATGCTCTTCCAAACAATGCATTTCAACTTCAGAATTAATACCAGTGTGGCGATGAGCCTCAGCAATGCCTGACATACGCAAGTATCATTCAGACATGAACTATAGAGGTTATTAAAAAGCAGGATTATAGACCTCAGTAGACCTAAATCATGTTAAGGATTTTGACCTGTCTTCAAAGCATATCAAATGGAAAATGTAGTCTCATGTATTTCAGAGGCTAATGACTAACCGGCTAGACTAACCACGAACTCCTGCTGATGACCAAATTCAACTCCTCTCATGCTATTCTACCTCATATGTTTTAGGTCTATAATAATCTAATTAAGGCTGAGCCACACCAACTTTACGATAGATGAAGGAAGTCAAGAAAGGTGTAAAGTTTTAATTTTATAGCAGTTCTTCTCTATAGAAATTTGTAGTCTTCAGATCAAGGAAATTCTGTTATATAGACACCTTAGCCACAAAATACTGCAAATGAAATTCCACAGAACAGCTTAAAAAAACCATGAGATTAATCAGAGACTAGTTTATGTATAAGCTTTAACAAAGCCCATGTATAAAACTGTGTGAGTATATATGATACTAATTTATCTTAAAGACAAAAACCTTTCCAAAGCCAAAATGAATTCTTAACATCTTTAAGGTAGACCAATCAAAAAGATCAAAGGCACATTTCACAGAGAGATTTTTTACATTTAAAACAACCTTAATAGCCAAAGTACTGGGAATATTAATGTATTGGAATAGAGGGATTTACAGTGGCCGTCTGTGACTTCATTATTACTATCCCTGTTCAAGGATTGACCAAGCAGATTAATCAGATGATTTTGTACTCCTGCATGATAAACTATGACAAACTACTCAACAGACAGACCACTGAGGCATCGGAGTCCACTTAAAAAGATCCTGCTCTGCATTCAAAATGGACGGGAGCCCCAAAAGGACACCATGGGCTCATGGAATATTCTTGAACCACCTTGAATAAAATCACTCCAATGAACTGGATCTCGAAAGGCAAACACGGTAACTGTGAAACCACACTGAGGAAACCACTTTCATGACACTTCCTACTGAGAAACAGAAAGACACACTTTTATACTTAAATTGTTTCCCCAAGTCAGAACCTGGTTATATTAATGTAAATGCTTCTCAGAAAACAGGCACCCAGCTTAAAATTCTAGGAAAGCTAAAATATTATGCAAACTTGTACTTCACTAACAAATCTAATCTTAGCTGACTAAAAGTTATGGTACTTCAAACTCAGTCAATATCACAGGGGCTAAAAAACTCATTATGCTAACTAAATGTAGTGCCGCTGTACTAAGTCCCCTCTAAAGCAACAAGCTGTGAGATATCCTAGTTATTTCAAAGAACTCCACTTAGAAATAGCACAGATTTTGTGGTCAAAAGGAATGACAGTTTCTTCCTCTTGCTGTGAGAGCTCGGAATGAGTTTCTAAAATAAAGTTACCTTTGCTAATAGTGACATTAAGATCTTGCAGCCTCAGTGAAATTCCAGAGAAAGCAGAAAATAATGTAACATCTGCTGCCCGTGGCCAGGCATTTCTAAG